TAGCTCTCGTCCACAAAATGCCATCTACATACATACATATCGTCGTACTAATAAAGAAATAAGTTAAGTGCAGTCGATGCTTAATAAAGAAATAAGTTAAGTGCAGTCGATACTTAATGCAGAAAACAGTTAAGTGCACAGAAAAAACGATGAAAAACAGCTAAGTGTACACATGCATTTAGTTATGCATAATATTTACTAAATACTGATCCATAACTAAATATATGTGTACACTTAGCTGTTTTTCATCGTTTTTTCTGTGCACTTAACTGTTTTCTGCATTAAGCATCGACTGCACTTAACTTATTTCTTTATTAAGCATCGACTGCACTTAACTTATTTCTTTATTAAGCATCGACTGCACTTAACTCATTTCTTTATTAGTACGACGATATCCAAATGTGTGCATATATTGTTCTGATTATATTGTTCTAAATTATTTTAAATTCCAATATTGTCAGAGGTTGCCCCAGTAGCTCAGTGGCAGAGCACTTGACATGAATTCAAGGGAGCCGTGGTTCAATTCCCGGCTGGGTAACAATTTTTGCCAATATTTGGAATTTACTCATTTGTTTCATTCATATATTATTCTGATTGCGAGCCAAGATATTTACTGAAGGCCATCATTTTGTACATATGCTGGATTTATATAGGTTGCATAGCTGAACCATCAATTACACTTTGATCTATTTTTATTTGTAGAGACTTATTTGAAAACTTTCGAAGCAACGAGTTTTTCTGAGACTACGTAAGCATTTCACATTATTGAATAATTAATTTAATTTATCTTGACTATTGATCCTTCACATCAAAGCGCTAGGATGAACTAAAATTTTTATTTTAATATATCGTATCTATATTATACAATCGACATTTGACTTTATCAGCTTGACGGACTCCCTTTATTTATTTCATAATTTAATACGACGTATGACGATATAATATTTTTATTTCCTATGTATGCTTGTCGCATTATTTTTTATTTCTTTTTAACGTTGCAGCAGAATAAAATCGATACATAAATAATTCAGAACCATCTTTAAGCTACATAGACTGTAAATTCAACTATTTTGCAAGAGACGCAAGAATATTAAAGCATTAGTCTTTTCTAACAGTAAGAAGGCTACATTTCAAAGAATTTTTTAAAATGTGGGAAATTCTGAAATCTTTGTTGCACCAATTTTAGAACAGACTTCCTTTCCCATATTCTATTTCGGTTTCTCGTAAAGAACTTTATATGATCAACTTATCCAGGAAAGAAGTTGTGTTTCGTCAGTTATCGTTTATAATATGTTGTGTGCACACAATCTATTGCATTCTTCTTTTATTATTTTTATTGAAAGGTGTTGTGAACTTGGAATTTATTCGAATTTATTTGCTTATAATTAGCACCCTCCTGTCCCTTACCTTCATGTCGGTGCCAGTCATTTTGTTGCTTCAACCAGTCGTTATCCCAGCGATTTTGAATCCCATAAAGAATCTTTTGAAATTTGCGCAAGGTAAGTTTTCAGATTAGATTTTATTGTGCATAGGGGAATATTTGAATTATAAATGTTTCTTTCAGCCATAACAAAAAAAACGAAGGGTTGATAAAATTCACATAAATGTGGAATTTTCTGGTTTAAAATTAAATTTCCTCCAATCGTGACATGTGGAATAATATAGTTAACGGAAAATAAGAATTTTGTTTAAATTTAACCTTGATGCTGTAGAATTTGGCTGAAATTATTATAACGAACTAATCCTAAGTGGGGCATTATTGTAACTTTACAAACCAGTGAATTCTTATCATCTTATACTTGGTTCAACTCTTTTGTTAGTAATTAAAGATCCGAAATAATACATTTTCAAATTGAAAATTTGAAATAGATTTGAAATTTGGTTAGATTTAAAATACATAATTAATAATAACTTATGTTCGTTTTAGAAATCGATAACAACATTTCGAGCGGAACTTTGCCAAATTATTATGTGGAAGAAAAAGTGATGAAACTTCAACTCTGGCTAAGCAACTATCCCATTCCAGTTCTCTCACTGGTTGCGATTTTGTTACAAGTAGACCCACTTTCCACAATGATTCCACCGTCGTGTTCTTCTGCCTGGTCTATAATATTTTTTATGATTCGTGCCACTGTTATAATTATTGTTGTGAATCAGATTCTCCAAGCGGTCAATGCTTTATTTATAATGGGTCTTATTGTGGTGTATTCGGTGAACGAAGCGATAAATTTGTTACGGAATGTGAATTCCAGAGGAAAAAACACATTTGATCAAATTCGTGGGATTCAACTTTTTCGGGAATTATGGATTTGGATTGATTTCACCAATTTAAATTTTTGCAATTTGGTGGTTCCTTTACTTATCGGTTTTGGAGTACTGTTTGTTACATTTGGCCTTTATGGAACAATTCGTATGGTGCATTACGCAGAATTTTTGGTATATTTATTTGTACCGATTACTACTTGGATGTCGTTATTATTTGTCGGAATTCTGTTGCCAATTGGAGCGGGAGTGTTTGAAAATTCAAAAATATATTTGAACCAGACAGGGAGGAACATGGGAGGAGTGGCGTGGCAGAAGCGGGTGTTGAGGTCGTTAAGGCCGTTAGGAATTCAAATCGGACAATTCGGCCTGGTCAGCAATAGTACGACCAAAACTATTATCACAGCTATAGCAGAGAATACGGCGACGTTGTTAATTATGTTTTAATTCGTACATTGTAACGTCTGTTTGCTATCTTATTTACCATCATTCCCACATACTTGACATAGCTTAACGTGTCGCTATCGATCATAGCCTATGGTCGATTTATTAAAATTAGATCTTTTTTAATGATTTTGTCTGAGATTGTGACCTAAATATTTAGGGGATGTGGTTGTATTTTTAAAATTTGATTTTTTTTAAATTTTTCTCGGTCGTTCATAGTTTTCAGAACCGTTTACATATTTGCTATCTTTAAGCAATTGACCGATCATTAGTAATTTGAATTTTCAATGTATTTAGAAAAAAGGTCTAATTAAAAAAAAGCGACCATAGTATTATTGTTTTTGTTTGTGGAGCCTAAACTACTAAAGGCTTATGAAAGTGAACGCCTGTAATTTCACTGGTTAACATATTATGGAGATTTATGTTAAAATTTGATAATAAATGTGATTACCAGTTTCCTATAATATGGAATAGGACCGGTCACGTAATAATGTCATAATAAATTTGTCATGTCACGGTACAGTAAATAAATTGTAATTCAATTATTACCAGCACATGTACATACAACTAAGAAGAACGAGACATATTAATAACTAGCCTAGAAGCCCGTCCTAAAGACGGGCGGAGTTAGAACCTTTTTGGTTTTGAATTTTATATACCAAAATACCAAAATGTCACTCAAATATAAAAATCTTACACACAAAATTATAAAATCCTAAAGTCTCGCCGTACTAAAATCGTAACTTCATAAAAACGTAAAATGGAAAAATAGAAAAATTATAAAATGTGTTATTTCTTGGACACAATTTGAAATCGATGTTTTTTAATTATAAAAAATATTTTGTTACGTTAGTAAATGTTTTATCCTAAAAAATAGTGATTTAAAATAAATTTTTGTTGTACCAGTTCAACGTCACTTGGTCATACATCTTGAAAGCTTATTAATTACTACTATATTTTTTGCCACAAATTAAATCCCTTGACCAAATGTGAGTTGCTAAGTAATTTCTGTAACATTGAAAAGCTGAAATCTCAAATCTCAAAATCATCAAATCTCAAAAGCTCAAATCTCAAAAGCTCAAATCTCAAAAGCTGAAATCACAAAAGCTCAAATCTCAAAAGCTGAAAGCTCAAAAGCTGAAGTCTTAAAGGCTGAAAGCTTTTGATCATACCTGTGCAAGTAAATTTTCCTTCATTCACCTTCATTCATTTTCGCCCTGAGAAAAACTATCCTTCAATCCCTTCATTCACCATCATTTCTCCGTCCTTCTTTTCATTCATTTCTCTCACTCCTCAATCATTCCTTCATTCCCTTCCTTCAGTTTTCTCACTCATTCATTCATTCCCTTCATTTTGGTATTTCAATTAATCGAATCACAATAACAAAAGTTGCTCTATGTAAAAATCTCACATTGCCCCATAAAAATCTCACATTGCCCCATAAAAATCTCACGTTGCCCCATCAAAAATCTCACATTGCCCCATAAAATCTTAAATTGCCCCATCAAAATCTGACCTTCACTCCTTAACCCTTCATTCTCCTTCATTCCCATCATTCTTCGTCAAATCCCCTTCACTCTCCATCATTCATTGGCTGGAGGGTTGAGCCTTCCTTCACTCTCCTTCATTCTCATTCATTCCTTTTACGTGATTGACGCCTTCATTTGGCCGAAATGAATGAAGGTGCACAGGTATGCTTTTGACATTTCAAGTTTTTGAACTTTCAGCTTTTCAGATTTTGAGATTTCATTTTTTGAGATTTTTGCTTTTGAGCCTTCGGTTTTTGAGATTTCAGCTTTTGAGATTTTGAGATTTCAGCGTCTGAGATTTCAGTTTTTGAGATTTCAACTTTTGAGATTTTGAGATTTCTGCTTTTGAGCCTTCAGTTTTTGAGATTTCAGCGTTTGAGATTTCAGCTTTTGAGATTTCAGCGTTTGAGATTTCAGCTTTTGAGATTACAGCTTTTGAGATTTCAGCTTTTGAGATTTCAGCTTTTGAGACTTTGAGATTTGAGATTTTTAAATTTCCGATTTTGAGATTTTATGGTTGGAGAGTTAATAATCTTAGTCACACTGAGAAACGATTCCTATGTTGTGATTGGTCGGGAGGGAATTCCAGCAGCCAATCAGGATGCTGGGATGTCACGGAAAGTTATAACATGGGGGCTTACTTTGGGGGCGGACTTTTGTAAATTATAATATAGATAGTTAAAAAATATCGCTTTTCTACGATTAGAATATAAGATCTGAAAATTATTCTTTACTGTGAATATAGATAAAATTACAAGGGTCAAGTACAGTTTAAATGCTTAATTAAACCCAATTTTTATTTTAATAAAATATTTAGCATCGCAATTAAAACCTGTAGTAATTTATTTTTGGAATGGTTTCGCACATTGGAGAAAACCATTCGAAGGAGCATTGGATCGTAGCCCATGAGGAAGAAGACCAAGCTGACAAGTATAAACATGTCAATGGTGTACTGAAATACATTTGCTGTCCAAAATTTTGCAATTTGATATCTTCCGGCCAATCATGTCCTTCCCAGGTGACTTGGCTGATGGATGTCGAATCCCTGGCGCCAAGCCAAAATCCTGTAAAGTAGATAGTGTATCCAATAAACATGTAAATGTCTTTAACTAATTTATTAACAACTTGGAAGTAGTTTATACCTCCCCATAATTCGCCACTTTCTGTCTTTGACTTGAAAAGGTCCTGCTGGGCTTGTGTCTTGATTTCGGCAAGCCTCCAACCAAACTTGCCACAGTAGTGGGACGCAGAATCCCAGTTCTAGATGAATTATGATAAATAGAAATACTAAATTTTCTCCAGATTATAAAAATTTCACTTGAATTTAGGAAAAGTGAATTCCTTAGTATAAGTTTGACTAATAGTTAGGAAATTATTTATGTTACATACTAAGAACTTGGCTGCTTTTCTTACTATGCGACTCTACTAAATTAATTACAATGTGCCTCATACCCAGTTTTACTAATTTTTTTGTAAATTTCTTCTGGATAAAAGTAATTAAGGAAGCTGAATTATATATTTTAAAAATATACCATTTGCAAGGAGCTGTTATAGTAGTAACCTTTCCCATCAACCTGGCCAAGGTAGGTTGGAATTGGTGGGATCTCTGTTGTTTCATTGTCAACGGGGCTATCTGAAATTAGAGAAAAAATATATTAAAAAATCTATTTTGAACTTATGATTTAAATTAATTTGATGCATAAAACATACACTGTGCCGAAACAAAGTTCAGGGTTGCAAAAATTTCAAAAATCAGGAAGACCAACATGATTGTTTAATTCACATGGAGGAAAATGGTAATGAGTAGGTGCCCAAACAGTGCGGTATTTTATATTAGAAACAAAATTTGGTTGCACAATGAAATACCCGAATTTGCAAATATATCCGAGAAATCTACAATGACGGGGGATGCGGTAGAATTTGGATTTCCACGGATTTTACGATTCTCGTAGGGACAAATGGTTGAATGTAAATATGAAGGTTGGCAATAATTTATTGGTTTGGCAAATAAATCTTTGAAATTGTGGAATGTATCTTGAAAATCATATAATCTATTATTTAATTTCGGACAAAAGAATCGTTATAATTTACATACATGCTTCAGATGTGTTTGTTCTGGCACATGGGATTGAACGGATTTTCCAATTAGTCCTTGGATTGCATAAACGGTAAATATTGTGGTGTCGCCTTGAACATAATAACCACAGGATTCTTCAAATTTGAACGAACTTTAAATATTTGATATTCACTGTATGGTACATACTTCTTTAGATGTTTTCTACTGAATTTATGACCTAAATTAATTTCTACTGAAGTTAGTTAAGTCAACATTAGCACAATATAGATAGGACACCTGTATGTATTAGCGGATTAGTATAATCGACTGACTGAGTAAATAAGAGTAATTAAAATTTGATATTTGACGTGGCCAACGTACGTGGAAATTTTATAATTGACAAAGGTAGTCCAAATAAAATCTTGCATAAGTGAAACGCTGCAGACGTAAACGGCAATACCCCACTGGCAAGTTGATGTTTAGAAGATTAGAACGATTCAGATGTCACTTATCTTTTAGCATTAAGTGACCAAAAATGTGGTTTTGCATGGCTAAAAAGTAATGCAAATTTGGTGAATTTAATAAGTCATAACGTTTCTAGACATGGCGTACCGTACATTTCATTGTGGATTACAAATGATGGAAAAAATTCAATGTTCGTACGTCTTAGGGTGTAAGGACCTGTGCTAGACGAGACGAAATCGTCTCTTTCCGAGATGTCTCGGCCTCGAACAGCACCTTAGTCTCCTCATGTCGTTCTCCGAGGAATTATTTTTATCTCGTTTGTTCAGACAGTTTATACTGACTTTCTATATAGCTTGATCTAAATCTATTGACTTAAATGTATGTGCAAGAACTGATGGTTCTCTAGGCATATATTGGTATGCATACATATTTACATTTCGCAAGATAATATAAGTATGATACGTCTCGTCTCGGTCCTCAATTAGGGGAGACGGGGTGCGTCGAAATTAGGACCGTTAAATTACGTGATGTCCCGACAATCGAGACAAGATTGGGAATAATCTTGATCTCAACGAAGCAAAATGAAACCAGTATGAAATGTTTTCAAAGATGTATGAATTCCAGTTGCCTAACAATTTTGGAAGAATTACATATTTACAAGAAAAATAAGGACAGCCATGTAGCCGAAACATTTCATTTTGTAACTATTATATCATAATGTCAACGTTTTTGTTGAATAGCGAATGACGTATGTATGTTTTTTGTGACGTAACAACAACGAAGTAAATATACCGACATGGATGCAGGTTCTGTGTTCTTTAATTTTATTCGTGTACGTTTACATCATCAAAACTGATACCAGGATTTCCCATTCCCCTTAAGTTCCTGGACCCTTTCTTTAATCCAGGCGAAGGCTGTCGCTGGGGTTACTGGGAGATCCTCGATGACCCCTTGTCTCATGATTTCTTTCCGGGCTTCAATTTCTTCGTAGGTGGGGCCATCATCGTCAGGAAAACTGATGAACATGTCGGTCGTCCGCCACGAGTCCTGCTTGAACAGTTGGAGACCTCCCTCTTTAAGGGCGTTGTAAACGGTTAAGGCGCAGTTATTTTTAAACAAGCTGTACTCCACTTTCTCCAATATTTTTTGGAACCAGGTTCGGATTTTTTTCAAGTCGAGGAATCGCGAAGGAATGAAGTAGGACGCGTCAGGACTGCCACCTTCAGCTGAGACGTCTTGGTCGTACGTCTGACATTTTGCTGTGACTCCTTTAAGTGCGGATTTTCCTTCTGAGGAAGCTGGCCAGAAGGAGATGTATGTCTTTTCCTCGTCGTCTAGACGCAGGGAGAGGTGACCCACTCGAAATGGTGAGACTTGAGGTTTCCAAAGGTAAACTGTGCCCATCTCTGGTAACGTTTCTGTAACCGGAAAAATACAAAGAAAACGTACGTATGAAGTTAAGGATAATGGTTTTCGCAATATTTCCGCAATTTCTGTGACCAACAAGGCAATATATGCATGTTTGACAAAAATTCTCCAATTAATAAACCGTTCGCTTTATAATCACGCAAAAATATGAGGCAATTTATACCACGGAAGCTAAAACGAGGGTTGAATGGGATCGGAAATTATACCCTGCAAGAACTGGAACTTTGATGAAATTGCGTTTGGCAACAAAATCAGGTTTAACACGAGCGTTTTGATGGGAGGTATTCCATGAGTGATGAATCGATGGATGAGCTTGTTGAGATTGTGTTATCCTATGATAACCAACCTCAAATCATCTTCCTCATTTAAATTATCTATCCACCAGTTGTCCTATCATGAATGGAGTGGTTGATACGAATAAGTGGTTTTAACTTTACATATTGTATTTAAACATTAACGTTACGATAAGGCAGATAAGCGCCTGACTAAATATGTTAATTAATATTTACCAATTCTTATTTGCTTTTGCATATGTACATTATAGGGAAAGATTTGATAGGATTTTATGATGTGAATTTAGGTAAGTCTCTGCATATGGTGTATGGACACAAGGATGATAAATTATTCAATGGTTGCCACAATGATGGACGATGTGAATTTGTAGCAGCTATTTTTTATGTACTACGAACTCGTCCGTATTTGTCCTACCGGAGACAAAGAATGAGACGTATGGCATCAAGCTTGTTTGCGAACGATTAACTTCGCCCGGAAAACAAATCTTTAGTAAGTATAATCTTTATTATCATAAAAATATTCATCAGCACGATCTTTACGTGCAACATATGTCTCGTCCAAATCCCAATTTAACACGACAGAGCACTGCATTACAAGTGTATGGATATTTTATGACGTTAAAAATATAACATCGACGGGATAAATATTTAGTTATGCGTAAATATGTTTTTTTATAATTTAGACATGCAATATTTTATAGTGATCACTATTTACATGCAGTTTCTTATATTGATAAATATTTGCATACATAGATCTTACGTTTAAATAATAATATTTTAAAAATATTTAATTAATATAACAAATGATGTATAAATACACGTACATGCAAATTGTATGTACATACAATTTGTATGCAATTTGTAATAATGATAAGTTGTATGCCTGTATGTAATTGATTAAATGGAAAATTAAACGGCGTCTAATTTCTTGCAAACCCTGCTATATATTTGTTGGTATCATTCCATCCATATACATAATTTAATTTGAGGGTGCGCTCACTATTTGCTCTACATATTTATTTACATATGTTATTTAACGAGACACAGTGATCCGAGGAACCCGGGGTACATACATAGAGTGAGTGAGAAACTCAGTGCGTTTTTCTAAATAATGTAAATGTTTCAATTGCAAGCGGAGATTTCCATGCATAAAATTAGAGTCGTGCAAAAAGTGTTTAATTATATAAAGTTTTGTCGCTACATATTTCTTACATAAATTACGAGAGTATGTTGGTAAAAGGTAAGAGGTCATCTTGTATTTTTTGCACTAACTAGATAATCCACATATGAATATGTTACTCAGTTGATAAGAATGTTGCAAATTTTGTCGGGAAACAAACCCCAAAATTTTGCAGCCTGGAAAAATTTTGGCTACAATCAAATGTACATGGACGGGATGAAAATTAACCTTGGCAAATAATTTGCCACAAACAAAATTATTCTTGAAACCCGCCACCATCAATTTAGGATATGTTCCATACATATGCAAAAAGTTGAAATATGTAAATGGTCAGCTATTATTTGCACAACATCAAATTACGCTTTCAAAGATAAACCGATCCGACATATTTTGAACAAATATGTAGAGGTCAGTCCTGCCCAAAAAATTGGCGAGTTTGACGCACATCCTGTTCTCCAGTATTTTTTTGCGAGTCCCACAAATCATAATAGATAATAGTTTTATTTATGTAGTTAACAATATTTTTTTGCAGTCCATGTAGCAAAATTAAATACGTTTTGGCAATGTTCCCCCGCCGGTTTCACATTTTTATGGAAACTTACCTCTTTTTCGCATCCCACACCGGAGCTTCCGGAGTCCTTTACGATGCAAAAAGGAGGCGCTTTTATACCACGACAATTTCAAAATTGCAAGCCCGCCTTACCGAATTTTTGTTGGCGCAGCAGTTCTTCTTTGGGGTTATTCGGTGTGTTCAAACAGCAAAAGGGAGCAGTTTCGAATCTAATATTTGTGCAATAACCACGCTAGCGTTGATAATGCCGATTACGGCGCATTTTTCGCAAACTTTTCAACCTCACGGGACGGCGGAATTGTGTAACATGATGTACCATTATGCAGCACAGTATAGACGTGAGTTGCCATGTTTTTGCAAATTTTCGGTACTAATTTATTGATTGATATTTGCAACGGATTAATTGAATAAAAGGGATCAGGTTGCAAAATTACATATGTTCCCGCACTTGTGTCAGATATATTTCACCCACAGAATTTAATTTGCAAAAAAATTTGCACTTTTTCTAGGAAACTGGGTACAGAGGTACAACGAGAGAACTACCCTGACCGCAGATCCGCTATTCTACGCGTCAATCCTGTTATGTCTCGGAGGCATGGGGTACTTCTACACGGGCTCGTTTCTCGCATATTTCTGGGCGGATTTGCCAATATTTTGGATTTCCATGGTGCCAAAAACCACACCGTATTACGGGATGATCTTCAGCTGCTTCTTGATGTATGGGAGTTCCGGGTTCTATATGATTCAGGGTGTCATTGTGGTGGAGGTCCTAAACCTGATGGCTTTTGCGGGTGGGTTGTGCCCGAATATGGGCTTATTTCAGTATTCTGTCGGTGTGTCCGTCGAGTCTTGAATATATCGCGGAAAACAGAATGTGGAAGGCGTGGGAAATCCTGGGGCCATTGGAACTCACAAATTTCCCATGTTTTCCCTCTTCCCACCAATTTTTAGGTGATAGTTTCGCACGTCTCACAAGGCCCCTAAAGTTTCCCGCTTTGTAAAAATATTGCTAACTAGATATCTATCTTTCTTAAACCGCTTCTAGCTCTGATGTTTCCGATCCATAGTACCGAACTGAACGCGAAATTGGCCCGCGGGAAACACAAGACGTATCCCTCCTTCCGAACAGTCTCCCATTTCCCCATGGAGTACAGAAAGCTTGAAATTTTGCACTCCTACGCTATGGCGATCTGGGGGATTTACGTGGTTCCGTTTCAAGCTTTTGCGCTAAATTTCGTCCTCTATGCGAACTACGTGCTCATCAGGAACTGGGACCACCTGGATTTCTTGATGCGGTGCCTCGTCCTCTTGTGGACCGTTTCGATTCAAGTTTTTTGGTACCTCGTGCTCCATCTGGCGGGACGATATTACCTCTTCTCGCAGAGGAATAGGGGGTCGTGGAAGTTTTTGGGGGTCAGGGACGCACAAGAGGCGAAGTTCATGGCGAAATTTAAGAAGAGTACGCGCCCCCTGGGGATTGGACAGAATGGCTACTTCATCATCAAACCGTTAAGCGTGGTAAAGTTTGTGAAGGGCGTGGTCAGAGGGACGGTCAGGGTGTTGTTGACGATGCGGTGATGACATGGTGGTGGTGCGTGGAATTGGAGGATTCATTGGAGGATTCAGCCCAAGAATACTTTTGGCAGAAATGCGAAATCTCAATTGGCACAGGATTTTGGGTGCAAAATTTTGTCGTACTTATTTATTACGGGGATCAAGGTTCAATAATTTAAATTCTTTAATTATCGCGCTATTTATTTAAAATTTATTTGTACTGAGGGTTGTTTTTATTATTTACACAAAAATCTGCGAAATATACGATTTGTTTTTTTTTAATTTGTGTGCAAGATTATCTTTTGGTCAAGTAGTAATGAACTTGAAAAAATAAATTTCTCAGTGAAGTTTCCACATCCGGTTGTCACTCGTCGTGATCTGTTCGAAATCCCCGCCCCCATCTTTGTTACAGCAGTCGCAAAACTTCCAGAATTCCATGCCGTAGGATGCGCACCAGTATGAGAGATCCGCGAGTCGCGAGTCGCAATGGGTTTCCTGGTTTTCGGAAGGCAATTGTAGAGAAGAGAGGCCGGAAGTGAGGGGGGAAGGGTTGTAACAGGTTTAATTTATTGGAGAAAAGTACCTTGCACTACTACTGAAAATATGATTTCATAGGAAATTTAGAAATAAGTGAATAAAATTGGTTTAAAAACAAAACTCAGGTGAGAATGCGTTTAAAAAGGATAAAACAAGGACGGGGAATTCTAAACAACATGTAGCAAAAGCATGCTAATAAACATTTCGCCTCACCGTCGGCTATTTTTATCCAGCATTAATAGTCTTTAAAAAGACTAAAAGTTTCGTTTCATTGTTGAACCTGTAGGAAGTCCATCGTCTTCAAAGACTAAAATATGCATTATATTCCCAGTAATTTTGTAGCAAAAACTTAAAATAAAACAACTTGTATACGTCAGAATTAGCGAACTACAGGAAAGTTGAAACCTAGAATTTCAGAATGTTCAAAATTTCATATTTTTAATTAAGGCGCACGCATTTAAATATTAAACATAATGCAGATATTTGGCTAATTTAGAATATCACGGATTTTCTAGAACTTGCATTTGTGATTGCAAATAATGCAGAACGTGCAGACTGCGGGGGAAGCAGAAATTCAGACGGGCACTAAGATCTTTCCAAAGCTTATTAATTTGCTTTGCCCAGAATTGATTTTGCGGAGTTTGAACCTGAGTTTGTTTTTTAAACCAATTTTATTATTACTGAAGATTCAAATGTGAATGTTCCAATTCTACCGTTTTCGGGCATTGTTTCATGTCCCCGACGGTCGATTCTATTCGTACAAAAAGTGGCAGAGAAAGCAGGAAACCTCAACGTTATGGACAATGGAACAAGTAGAAAGAGTGGATCATTGATGCGCATATATTTTATTGGTCATTTTTTATGTCATGTTATATAATTATCTTTTTCTCGGGTCACCTCGATAAAGAGGTGGGAGATTATGCTAAAACCAAGTACAGTGTGATTTTTAGTGCATGATGCTCCATCTGTTTTGTGTGAGAGAATTGGTTGTTTTTTACAAGGAGCGTGTTTTTCATCACTACTACTGGCAGGCTTGGACTAGGAGAAGAGTTTTTTCTTTGCGCTCTCTCATTATTATTAATTACTTGTCATTTAACACTAAAATTGTTGATTAAATAAAGAGTGTTAAGATTATTAAAAGCATCGGTTAAATTCGTGTCCTCTTGGTGCTCATTATTCTGAGATACGCC